AGGCAATTTGCTTTCTTGGTAAATTGTTTTATTCTCAATTTGAAGCAAATTCCATCTTTTTATTCATAATAATAATTAATTTATTATTATTATTATTATTATTATTATTATTATATTGTATTTTAGAGTTTTGGTTTGAAATATTTTTTTTTATATTACGCCGCCACAAGAAAATATGCTGTTACTATATAAAAGAAAATAATTATTATTTTAATTTTTTTATTTTGTAATTACGTTGAATATATATTATATATTATATGACTGTATGCTAATATAATATATTTTAATAATATTAATAGTGAAGTGAATAGAAAATTTTAATTGAATCAACACATACTCTCTTTTTTTAATAAAATTAATAATATTTCAATTTATACTACAAGGTGTCAAGACGTACACCTGTATAGATAGAAGCAATATTTAAATACTCTTTCCGTCCTATAATAAAGTATTTATTTTTTCATTTTAGTCCGTTTCATAATAAAATATTTATTTCTTTTTTTTTTAGTAATGGTACTATCTAACTAACATTACAAATACCCTTACAACTTACAATATATTACACAAATGTCATTACCTTTATATTACATTGTACTAACAAAGTTATTTTAATAATTTCTATTTTATTTCTACTATAAAAACAAATAGATACTTCGTTTCGGACAAAAGAAATATATGTTTTTATTAACATTACGACCCACCTGTTCATAAAACAAGTCACATGATGTTATTATTTTGCTTTAAAAAATACATAAATAAAATTATTTATTTATTATATATAATACACGGAATCTAGCCCTTCCTTAAGATTTGAGCCGCCGTCTCTTCTAAAGGTCAGATTCTCCCGCATTTATGGCTCTCTGGCCCTTTAAATATAATTTTTTATTATATTATACTCCATCAGTCCCAATTGGATGTCTAAGTAACGTAGACATTAGATATTAAAATAAATATAATTAATAAATAATTAAAAATATATAAGTAAAAATAATTTTTATATAATATAAATAATTATAAATTAAAATAACTAATTAGTTTAATTAAAATTTAAAAAATTAAATTAAAAAATTTAAAATAAAATTATAGTGTATAATCATTTAAAAAAAAAACTGACATGGAATGTAAGACGAACAAAAACGGCAATATGGATATGATAGGTGGGAGGAATGTAGTATTATATATTTTAATTTAAACTCTATTAAATATTTTATCGGTTTAAATTTTTAGTATTCTTATAATCACAAATTTATTACTACTTTCGTCGATTATAATGGTCTTATTTATTTTTTTATATTAATATTTGAATATTAATTATTATATTTATTTTTTTTGTATATTGATATTGAATATTAATTATTATATAAAAATATAGTACAAATCAAAAGGAAACAAAATATTTCTATTAGTGTTTAATAATATTATTATAATGATATTTGTGCAAACAATTATATAAATATAAAAATATTTATAATATTAAGTACAATGACGCAAAAGATAAATAAAATCCTCATAATCGGACGGGAGAATACTATATTGGTCTGATCATAAAAATATATTTTTTTATTTAAGATTATTCAATTATAAATATAATTATTTTAAAAATATTTTTTTATTATTGTTATTTGAACAAATATGAATCAATGAAATACTTACAATTTGATAAATAATCAATTGTCCATCCGTTTTTTCAGAGTGAAGTTATTTCAAATAAACCATTATCGTAATGTTACCATCATATTATTATTTATATATATATATATATATTTACACTACTCTTGGCTACACATTATAAATAAAAAATTATAATTTTCTTAATTATGTGTAAAAAATAAATTTATACATTTTAAGTGGACAAAAAGAGTATTATTATTTTTACTTACTCTATTACTTATATATCAATTATTAAAAAAATTTCATATAGTCTCATATAATTTTTATTTATTCTATTTTAATATTAAAATATTATTATTTGTTAGTCTATGTATTTAAATAAATTTACATAATTATTTCAGAAGAATAAAATATAATATTCTGTAAATTAAAAATTATTACGAAAATTGAATAATAAAGAAAGAAAACCATGGCTTAACAATTAGTAAAGAAACTATTGGTGTATTTACTTTTAAGATTTTATCTCTAATTTTACTATTTCAATTTTATTTATTTTTTTTAAAAATATCAAATCAAATTCTCAATTTTTATTTATTTTATTATACTAAAATCTAATTTTACATTCAAAACGTCACATCAATACATATTTATATCATATTAAACAATTATTTCAATTCAAAATTTTACTATTCAAAATCAAAACATCAGAAGCAAACACACCCTATATTTGTGGAATTTTGTTTTTGAATTTTGAATTTAAATAATAAAATTTTGAATTGAAATAATTATTTGATGTGATATTTTAAATGTAAAATTAAATTAATGTAATATAATAAATAAAAAATAAATATTTAATTTGATATTTTAGAAATGAAAAAATTTAGAATAGTGTGGAATGTTGTTTTTGAATTTTGAAATTAAATAATAAAATTTTGAATTGAAATAATTGTTTGACGTGATATAAATATATATTGATATGATATTTTAAATATAAAATTAAATTTAGTGTAATATAATAAATAAAACATAAATGTTTGATTTGATATTTTAGAAATGAAAAAATTTAGAATAGTAAAATCAAAATCAAAATAAAAACCGTACAAATAAGCACACCGGTGGCTTTGTTCTTCCTAATTTTATTCTCCCACACTCTAAAAAATATTAATACAATAACATATTCACTATTTTTATATTGTTTACACGATTTCTTATACCTCACATGATTTTTTTTAATTTTTCCAACATTCTTACAAAACAAACACATATTTTTACACAACTATTTTTGAAAAAATTGGTATTATTTATTATTATTATTATTATTATTATAATAAAATATCAAATCAAATTTATAATTTTTAATATATTGAAAAAAATTTAAAATTTCAAAAAAAAATCTATACAGCCTAGCACTTTTTGATGACATAAACACTTTATTTGTATTATGTCAAGTTCAGTCAAATTGAATCTGTATAAGTATTTTTAAAATATGGAAAAGATTCCCTTGATTAAATAAGAATCGATTATGTATTTTGTTACCAAATTTAAATGAAAAAGAAGAATGCAAGTAACTTAAAAAATATAGAAAGGGACTAGTCTATATCATAAATTTCAAGATTTATATAGGAAATACTAATTTATAGTATTTTCTTATCACTTACTATAATTTAACTGACTAAATATTGAAATGAACCATGACTTTGTGTATATGTACAGGCTGGCCGGTAATAATTATAATTAGTTCAATAAAAATTTTAAAATATTATTACCTTTTAATTTTAAATGACTAAACAAAGTGATATAATTTTTAATTTATATTAAATAATGAATATATTTTTTCGGGAGGAATTATAAGCATATTATTGAAAATACATATAACAAAAAAATAAAAAAATATATCAAAATTATTTTACATACGATCACTCAATAATACTCCTTCCGTCCCATATAATTTGTCCTTATTTTTTATTTTCGTCCGTCCCACATAATTTGTCCTTTCCTTTTTTGAAAATATGATTATCCACTTTAATCACATTTTAAGTTTTAAATTTTATAATTTTTTAAATTTTAATTAAACTATTTACTTATCTTAATCTTAATCTATAATTATTTTTACCAAATAATAATTATTTCTACTAATATATTTCTTAATTACCTACTAATTATACTTTACCTAAACTTTAAATTCCCGTATCTACGGTAACACGTCCAAAATATATGGGACGGAGGGAGTAGTTTTTATCATTTTTAATTTATTACAAAAATCCAAATATATTTTATTTGGTTCGGGATAAATAATATTTTAATTAGAAATAAAGACACATCTCAAACGACTGCCACACAATCAAACTTCAATCTTCAAGATGGTATTAAAATATATATATATATATACGTGTGTGTGCGCGCGTGTTTGGCGTTTTGTATTAATTGTTTTTATCGAAAAATTCAGTTTGAATAGAACTAATTAAAACACGTTTAAGGTCGACATGTCTAGTTGTCTATGTTTAATTGCCACATCTTACAATTTATCACAGTAATATTACTATTATTTTGAAATTATTTAAACTTAAATATTTATATTTATTTAAAATATATTTCAAAAAATTAATCTTCCATTCTAAACAAACCCAAATGTACATGAATTGAGAATTTTATAATAACAATAACAATACTCCACGTGTCTCACTTTTGTGTCCGTTTATTATAAATAAGAAAATTTAGGTAAAATATACTTTATCCGTTCCAAAAAATATTTATTTTTATTATTTATATCTGTCTCATTTCAAAGTATCAATTTTCTATTTTATAAAAAGTAATCATAGAATAATACCAAAATATTATTAGCTTTTACTTAAATTACAAAAATACTATTACACATACAATTATTTTATATATAAAGTTAAAGGGTAAAAAATTAAAATTTCTTATACATTTCTACTGGCTAATAAATAATATTATTTTTTAATTTAATATAAAATCAGAGCCATTTGGTAAGGAATGAAGGAAGTAATTAATAAATAATTATGAAATATATTACTAAAAATAATTATTATATAATAAAATTAATTATAAATTAAAATTAAGGTAGCTAAACATAATAATTAAAATTTAAAAAATTAAAAATATAAAATTAAAATGTATAATTATATATATATTTTTAAAATAATAAATAAAATAAGGTGAAAGGACAAAAATAGAAATAATTGATAAAAAATTGTAAAACAAGAGAGCAATATAGGTATGTGTAAGTAATGTGTGTATATTTGTGAGGCAGCAGCTGTCACCAGCCGTAACGCAGATTCATTACAAGAATCTAATGTATATACTAAATTAGAATTAAAAGTGGTTGTGAGTTCCGGAGGCTCCCACCACCTTTCCCCCCCCCCGCCTATAAATTGGGACGAAGGCTGGTAGAGCTCCTCCCCATCGCCAAAATCAAAATACAAGCCCACCCGCACCACCCGCCACTGCCCTTCACGCGCGCTTCTGATTGGCACGCGCACGATCAACTAGGAACGAACGGTCGGTCGGTCGGTCAGTCAGTCCGTACACGAATGGGCGGTTGGGCTATAGCGGTGCACGGCGGCGCTGGTGTCGATCCCAACCTTCCTAAAGATCGCCAGGAACAAGCCACGCGCCTCCTCACCAGATGCCTCCAAATCGGCATCTCCGCCCTCCGCTCCTCCCTCCCCGCCATTGACGTCGTCGAGCTCGTCGTGCGTCCTCCATTTTTCATTTATAAATTAAAATTAAAATTGATTATTATTATTGTTGTTATTATTGTTATTTTTTTATTGTAGGTGCGGGAACTGGAGACGGATCCGTTTTTCAATTCCGGCAGGGGATCTGCGCTGACGGAGAAAGGAACGGTAGAGATGGAGGCCAGCATAATGGACGGCGCCGACCGGCGGTGCGGCGCCGTCTCCGGCGTCACCACCGTAAAAAACCCGGTTTCGTTGGCCCGTCTCGTTATGGACAAATCTCCGCATTCCTATCTCGCCTTTTCCGGCGCCGAGGAATTTGCCAAACAGATGGTCAGCAATTCACCGTTAGACAATTTATATATAGTATTTATTTATTTGTTTATTTACTATTTTAATTTATTTAGATTCCACGTGTCTGAATTAAGAAGAGTTCGTCTTTCTCTTCGCTTCTGTAGATAGGCACCCATCTTTGTCGCTTTCCGCCATGGATGTCTGTTCCAAGCTTTTTGGTTAATATCCGTGTTTGTGAATCTGTAGGGCGTGGAAATGGTGGAAAATGATTACTTCATCACCAGCGACAATGTCGGCATGCTCAAATTGGCCAAGGAGGCCAATTCAATTCTCGTAAGAAAGAACAACCTTAAAATTCTTACAGCTAATAAATAAATATATTATAATTTATTTTTTTTTGGTATAAAGTTCGACTACAGAATTCCTCTGGAATCCTGCGGCGCGGCGGCGGTGGAGAATCCGCCGCTGCATATGAACGGGCTGCCAATAAGCGTGTACGCGCCGGAGACGGTGGGGTGCGTGGTGGTGGACAGCCAAGGGCACTGCGCCGCCGCGACGTCGACCGGCGGTCTGATGAACAAAATGGTGGGCCGCATCGGCGACTCCCCGCTAATCGGGTCCGGGACTTACGCCTGCGACATCTGCGCCGTGTCGTGCACCGGCGAAGGGGAGGCGATCATACGTGGCACCCTGGCGAGGGACGTGGCGGCGGTTATGGAGTACAAAGGCCTGGACCTCCAGGAGGCGGTCGACTTTGTCATCGGGAAACGGCTCGACAAGGGCAAGGCCGGTCTGATCGCCGTGTCGAGCAAGGGCGAGGTCACGTGCCGGTTCAACTCGGTCGGGATGTTCCGAGCCTGCGCGGCGGAGGACGGCTACATGGAAGTCGGCATATGGTGAACCAAACTTAATTATATTATATATTATTAATTAATTAATTAATTATACATGTTACATGTGACACCCCGGTCCGGTTCGGTCCGGTCCGGTTGGGACTGTCTTTGGTTCTGTTTCATGGTTTAGGTTTGTCTTCCCATGCTTGTTGATTTGCATTAGCTTCGGAGTTAATAATATTAATAATAATGTTAATTTCGTTTTGGTCCACAATTCTTCTGCCATTAGTAGCCATTGCTATATATATTACTCCCTCCATCTGGGGAATTTAGCATTTGGGCTCGGCATGCAAATAAAAAAAAAAATATTGTATTGAAAAAATAAAAAAAAATTGTAGTTAAAAGTATTTTTAAAAATTTAATTAGAAATTAAAAAGAATTAAGATCAAATATAATAAAGTGACTGATATTTATTATAAATAAGTGTTAAATAAAAAATAATAACTAAATATTGACTTTTTGATTTTTTTAAATATAATAATAAAATAAATTTAATGGAGGAAAAAAAAAAAGAATGAAATATTACGTCACTTATATATGATATAACAATAAATCCTACAAAGTAGCGGGGAACAAAACAAAGTAGGTAAGTATCAAGACAGTGAATGATGGCCATGTGCGTAAAGCTTGGAGCTGATGCAAATGCTCCTCATGAATTGGAATAGGGACTGTTTATTATTATTATTATTATTATTATTATTATTATTATTATTATTATTATTATTATTAATTAATTAATTAATTTAATTAATATATTAAATTGTAAGCGTGGCTCTCAAATTGTGTCCACTAAATTGAAGATTGGTTTGCTTTCTTAAACAGCACAAGAAGAGGACAGCAATTCATCACGCTTTACATTTGCTTAAAAACCAGAAAAAGAAAAAAGCCCAAGGACAAAAATAATGATGCAACTTTTTTTTTTTGTTGTTGTGAAAAAAACATGATTTACTATTGTAGAAGAAATAATCAGACCCACCCACCCACCCACGTACGACTAGGGACAGTGTATATATCAATGAAGTAGACAGGCTTTGGGATTACTCCTCAGGCCACCATTAATGTCGTTTTACTGTAACAAGAAATGCACTGAAAATGAGAGCTAGGAAAGTGAGGCATTCCTGTCCTGATCAATTACTAATTTTTACTGTGAAAACACAGACACCAATGGAATCGAGGATTTTGGGACAAGAAAGGACTGTGGATTCAGAGGTGATGACTCATTTCCTGATGGAATCATCAATGACATCAGATCAGTTCAGATTGCCATGACTGAAGATTCATAGAAAATCAATCAAGCATATCCCAGGCCACCAATTGCACAACAATGATTCATTCGGACATATGATCCAGTTCTTGATTTTAGACAATCCACGTTAAATTCAAAATGGGTTTTCATACAAATGTTTCGTATTTACTATGCCAACAAATAATCGGGAGAGCGAGTAAGACTCTGTTTAGCTGAGGTGTTTGAAGAGTTTTGAAATCTTAAAAATTTGCAAAAAAAAAAAATGATAAAATTTAATATTTGATTTGTTATTTTATAAATAAAAAAAAATATATTTAATGTAATTTCTTTAAAAAATAAACAGTGTTAAATGAATTGAAAAATTGTTAAATAAACAAAGTCTGAGCATTACAACGGCAGGTAAACACTCCACTCAACCAAACATTTAAAATAAAAAGGGAAAGGTTGGGGGGGTGGTTCCAGGGGGGGGGGGGGTGGTTAGCTGTCAAGCATGGTTAACCGTTTCCGTTTCTCTACTAAAAGAAACACCAAGAAAAATCTTGCTTACATATATTGTGTTACTATATACTGACAGAGGACATTCGTCTGTTTATTTTCTTAAATAGTTTGAAAGTATATATATATCTATTTTTTATTGGAAGTATAGAAAATTATTTAAGTAATATAAAAAGAATGAATGTGTGTAATTTACAATTTAAAGTATTTTTTTTTATCATTTTTGTTTGTCCCATTAAAAAATATCTATTTTATATTTTAGAAAAAAATAATCATATATTAATATAAAAACTTTATTAACTTTTATTTAAATTATAAAAATATTATTATACATATATTCACTTTATAGTCTAAGGACAAAAATGTCAAAATATTTTACATATTTACCAACAAATTATAATACTATTATTTTTTAATTTATAACAAAATCCTAAAGAGTCTTTTTGTATTGAAATAGAGGAAGTATCATTTAGGAAATTACTACTTCATCCCTAAAATTAAATTGCAAATTCATACGATGGATTAAATTGCAATTTTTGCTTCTTTTGAATCTGAGGGAACACTTGCATTGCATATCTTCTTCTACGAGCTCCTATGTAGCTTCAAAATATGAAACATATTTTACTAATTAATAAAATATTATTATTTTTAATATAAAAAAATTATTAAGTGCATACTTTTGTCCAAGATGGAGATAATATATAATTATTATTTTTCTATTTATAGAAAAAAATAGATTTAAAAAGATAAATAAATATATTGTTTTATTTATATAATGCATATATTATGTATGTTTTACATATATATTTATACATTTACGGTTATGTTTATGTATTTAATGTTCATTTTAAAATAAAAAAAAGACGCGGGGTTTATTATAGACAATTTATTATGTAATTTTTTTTATGGGCTAAACCAGCCCGGGCCCATTCTGGGCTGTGGCGAACGTGGGCTCATAAGTTTGGATAAACTTTTATTTATAAGTTTGTTGTAACACTGTAGTCTATGAAAATACATACAAATTTGTAAACACAATCTTTTCAATTCTATAAAATTTATGTAAAGAACCCAAAAAAATAAAAAAATAAAAAAATAAAAAATAAAAAATAAAAAAAGGAAGAAGAAGAAGCTAAACTCTATACTTTTTAAAGTTTAAAAAATTCAAAGATAACCTCAATACATTACAAGCAATATATTTAATATTTATATAATAATAATAATAGAGCCGACATTGAGGTGCCAAACCTTCCCGTCGATGTGAGCTCTTGGGAAAGATCAGCCTATTATCCCCGATACTTGTGGATTGAAGGGTACGAGAAGAGGCGGAAGCAGAAGCGTTGCGCAAGAGCGCGCTAAGAAAGGTTGCATTACCATTGATTCTTCGGGATCCTGTTGGTGCTGGTCGGCTAATAATAAATTTTAGGACAAAGAGTAAGGAAAAATCAATAAGTAGGAAGTGGATAGTTGAGTAATTTGATGTAGACATGCATCAAACTTTAGTGTATAACTATCACAATTTATTTATTAATTGTAAAAAATATATATATTTTTAATATATTTTTATATAATGTTGTTGAATGCTCGATGTATAGTATTTTCTGAAAATTAAGATGAACAAATTGGACTTGATTTTTAGAACATTGTACCAAATTAGTACGTAATATGTGTGATAAAATTGGAAGACGCGGACCCAAATCCCTTTTTTAATTTACAATTTTTGACTCCAATTTGTATTTTTAATATATAATAGTCTCTGTCTCAATTTAAAATACGATTTTTATTATTTTTGTCTATTTCATTTTAAAATATTTATTTTTTATTTTTTAAAAAATAATTATACATTAATATCAAAATATGGTTAACTTTTACTTCAATTACAAATATACTGCTACCCATACAATTAGATTAAAAATTCTTATATATTTTTATTAATTAAATTGAATTGGGAGCATATTCTCATTTCCACTTATATTTATAATTAAACAGAGGTAATAAGGGTCATGTGTAATTTCACGTAGGCAGTGATGACAGATTAAGACAAAAAAGGTAAAAGGTAATCGATCAGACAATATATATAAAGAACAATAATCCAATTAATGGCGATGCTGCTGCTGCGATCAAGAAGATTCTGGAAGAGATGCATGTTGAAGGGGTGAAGACAAGTGGGCCGGGCCATGGATCATGGGCCCGGGCTCGACCCGCTTTGACCATTAATAATAGTAATTAGTTTCATTCGTTTAATGATATTAATTTTATTTAAGATTATTAATTGGTTTCTAGCCGTATGATTCTATTTATTTTATTTTCTATTCTTTTAATAATATATTATTATTCGACTCCATTTTGAACACATATATCTCTTATTAACTACATTAATATTTAGTTCTGTCCCAAAAATTTACCAAAAAAAATAAAATAAAAATCTGGTGCTCCACTCAGATCCAGAAAATTCCGACAAAGTAAGTACTATAAACTATATCATCAATAAATGCAAGAATTGAAGATCCAGTCCAGGACAACAATGGTAGCTGTGAACTTTCACCGCTCACATTTATTTAATTAATTAACTATATATATAAATTCTCACAAAAAGGGCAGGGCAATGAAGTAGAAATTAGACAAAGTCCCGGATCAGAGAGCCAGCTAAGGAGGCTTTTGATTTCAGCTCCGGCAGCGTGTAATGGCGGAGCAGCCTCTGACGTAGGGACGCACAGGTCCACGTGCCCTGTAACAATTGTGCGTGTAGTACGACCTCCCGGACCGGGCCGGACACGGAATCCGGTTCGCCGACAGCGCGCCGTACGAAATGTAGTAGCGCCGCCGCGGCCATTGATGCCCCCAGTACACCAGAGATCTGCGCTGCCCTAACTCTTCTTCTTCCTCAAATCCTTCCTCATCCTCCTCATCGTCGTCTTCCACCAGGCGGAGCTCCGCCTGGACCGGCCGTTCTAGGGTTCCGTTCCCCAGGCTAAGTCTGAGAGAGCTGCCGGCGACTGCATCGGCGGCATCGATAATTTCCGGAATTGAGAGCACGAGGAGAATGCAGATCAGAATTGGAATCAATTGGAGCTTCACTTCCATGGCCATGTCTGAAATGTTTAATGAGAAGAAAGAAATTGAGAATAGAGAGAGAGAGAGAGGGATGAGAGAGAAGGAAGTCACATGGAGGAAGAACGGGGAAGAAGATAATTTAGCTTTGTCTGCTTCTTACGTGTTATTCCATAATTCACGCTCTTCACATTTCTTAATGGGCCGTTTTTAAATGGGCCTTACAAATGGACCGCCATTATTCAAATGGGCCCATCATAATGTAGCCCAAATCAATTCACCTAACTCACCAACTAACTATATATAATTTGTAATTAGTTGAAACAACCTCATCTTCTTTTTTGGTAGTTAACAGTAGTGCCAAAACTTTTAATTATATATGAAATAAATGTATGTTTCTTTATTTCAATTTTCTCAAATTTTACTGTTTGGATTCTGCAATTTTTTTAAAAAAAATATTTTTTTTCTTATAAAATAGACCTTCAAACATTATTTTAATACCAAATTCAAATCAAATTTTTTTGAACTCAACTGAAAGAAAACATTGGATCCTTATGGTCCGCACTTCATTTATTGCATCGTACATTTGCTCAGTGCGGTGGCTTCTGTTCACGCAGTTTGTGTGTTCCTATATTAATATTGAGGAGTGTTATTTATTACATGCCATAAATGTTACATAGCACCATTTAGTATGGATTTATTAAAATATGCATAAAATTTTTATTTTGTCATCATTCCATACATAAATATAAAAGTCTTAGACAAAGTTGTAATTAATGTAAATAAAATTTATATGGAAATTGGTTGTATCATGGATTTGAATAATTTCAAATCGTCGGGAATTCTGGAATTTTCTAATATTAGAAGGACCGATTAGCAATAAAGAAAGTAACCACCCATAGAGGCGATAAACGAGTCTTTCATTTCTTTGCTTTTCGTTCTCTCGCAACCAACCATGGCGTCTTTCCCCCAAAATAACTTTCAACAATTTCTTCAACAGCAACCTTCGCAGCCGCAGCAATCTAAGCCCTTAAGGTAACTTAGAGCCCAAAGGGTGAATTCGATTTTCATGGAAATTCGTACGGAGAAGCAATTTCATTTATGTTGTTTTGGAAGATTTGTTATACGTACCATCCAGATTTCCTCTTTTTAATCCGTCGATTTCATCATCAGTTCTAATCCCCCACTTTTCTTGATTTAGGGGTTTGTATGACGCCAACATGGAGGGTCAGATTTCTCAGCAAGTGGCCTACTTCAATACCCCAAATCTCCTCAATCACCACCCCCCTTACATCCCTCCTTGTAATGTTTCCTACAATCTTTGCTTTGATTGGGGGGTGATTGTGTTGTCTGATTTTGTCCTCCACCTGATATGAACATTCTTCTTTATTTGTTTCAGTTCAAGTGGCAGGGTTGGTCCCAGAAGAGAACAGGGTGGAATTACAGTGGAATTTCGGGCTCGAATCGAAGAAAAAGAGGCCTATAGAGCAATCTTTTCTGGAGAGTAATCTGAACAATAACAACAGCAACAATAACTCTCAGATATCGTCTTTGGATTTGTTGCAGGCCCGATCGGTCTCCACCGGCCTGGGCCTTTCCTTGGAAAACCCTAGATTGACTTCTTGCGGTGATTCATCCTTGCTGGGGCTGGGCGCCGATGCCATTGATACTGAGCTGCAACGACAGGACGCTGAAATTGATAGATATATAAAACTGCAGGTATAATTGATTAGCTGATACACTGATCTGCTGGCTATGAATTTCAGTTCTTATTTAGTTTAATGGAATTCTGTCTTGGCTTAAATTTTCAGTAATGTGAAGGAGAAATTTACAATTGTGAATTCTTTCTGAATTCAGTAGCATAAGGAGTCGAAATTCTTGGATACAAATAAGATATGATATGATTGTTAGAAAATAAATTATGAAAACTGGAAATTGCATTGTATTCATAACCAAAATAGGGGCATAGGCATCATAAAACAGACTCGATAAACTCAAATTTAAACAACCTAAGTAACTAAATCTACCAAATCTAAAACTAAATATCCAACATATCTCAACAATGATAATATAGGAACCTTTTGCTCTAAGGTAGTTGTGTTGTATGATACATTGTTCGTTGATTTGAAAGTTGTTTTCAACCCTATTTCGCGTCTTCTAGTTATGTCGTGCATTGATTGGGACTGGGCTTGCATCCCTTTTCACCGCGATCTAGTTTATGCTGTATGATATGTCGTGCATTGATTGGAAAGCTGTTTAGGTGTGAGTGGCGGCACTGTATTTAAAATTTTTTATTTATTTAGCTGTTACCTCATGCGGAAAATACGGTTCCTTTTTATAATCTTGGAAATTGACTTGAGTGCATCGCTTGTATGTCATCGTTCTTGCATATTCACTCGAGACCTTTTCTTAGTAATGTCATTATATATTGGTATTTACTCGAATCCTTTTCTTACTTGGGGTCACTAATGATATTATTTTTGAAAGAATTAGGAAGGATTCATGTATAATATACTACTTCCACATGTTTCAGATGCGGTCACTTTCTACCATTTTCGCTCCTTTATTCTGCAGGTTGAAATTACCAATAGTATAAATTTGTTCATAATCTAGTAACAGTGAAGTTGCTTTCCTCTACTCGATTAGGTTATCTACTAACATTTGAACTTAGGGTAAACTGATATTGTAGTCCTGTAACTAGACTTCTTTATCATTTTAGTCCTGTAATTGAAACCTCTCGCAAATTAGTCCCGCAAGAGAAAATTTTTCGGAATTTTAGTCCTCTACTTTGTGAAGCTTAGAAGTATGCAATTAACTTACACGGCCAAACTCTTTTTCTTTTTAAAATTTATTTTTTAGGGAGATCGTTTGCGACAAGCTATTGCGGGCAAGTTTCAAGCAACCCAACTCCAGACGATCTCATATGTCGAAGAGAAGGTTATGCAAAAACTGAGGGAGAAAGAGGCCGAGGTTGAAGACATGAACAAGAAGAACATGGAGCTCGAGTCGCGGATCGAACAGCTTTCTTTGGAGTCTAATGCGTGGCAACAGCGTGCAAAGTGCAGCGAGAACACAATCAACAGTCTGAAGCTGAATCTACAACAGGTTTACGCTCAGAGCAGAGACAGCAAAGAAGGGTGTGGAGACAGCGAGGTTGACGACGCAGCCTCGTGCTGCAATGGTGGGCCCCCCGGGGTCGACCTGTACCAGGTTTTCAAGGAAGGTAATGAAATGAAGGAGATGATGAGATGCAAAGTGTGTAGGGTGAATGAAGTTTGCATGCTGCTGTTACCTTGTAAGCATCTGTGTTTGTGTAAGGGATGTGAAAGTAAGCTTAGTCTCTGCCCCTTGTGTCAGACTTCCAAGTATATAGGCATGGAAGTTTATATGTAGTAAATGTAATTGTAATGTGATGTAATGTAATGTAACGAAGTGTGTAACCTTGACTCTGAAGAAACTTTTTATGGAAACTTAAATATCTATATATATATATATGTATATGTATATGGTAGCGGTTCAAGAGCTGATTTGATCCAATTAGCATAATATAACATCTGTTGTTAGAATTTGTGCTAAATGAAGTGATATCATATGCCTTGAGAATATGCATAGATTGGATTAAATTGTGCTAATTTGATTTCATCAGCATCCAAACCATACCATAGCAGTATATATATATATATATATATATGTGTGTGTGTTTTTCAAGTAGGTCATGTGTACCATTTCTTGCAGGGGAAAGAGAAATGAATTGGGTCAAGATATTCTTGATGAATAATAACGAGCCATGTTGTAATAATGTTAGAGAAACTGCAGCAAGTTCCGTAAAGTAAAGGATGACTTGATGGCGTGCGGGAGTGAATTCGTAATCGTATATATATGGTGTACCATTTCTTGTAGGGGAAAGATAAATGAATTGGGCAAAGATATTCTTGATGAATAATAATGAACCATGTTGTAATAATGTAAGAGAAATTGCAAAAGGTATACTAAATGATGACCTCATGGGGTGGAAGTGAACTCCTAACTCCAAGTCTATCTACCACGTATAGTTTGTAGAGTATTAAATTCGATCGAGAATTTACGAAAGTAAACTTAACGAGCAGCAACTAAGGATTCTCAAGGAAAAAAAAAAAAAAAAAAAGCAAGAAAGGAGAAAATTAATGTAGTGTATGTGTAGTTGAATTTAAGCAAAAAAAAGAGGGAAGTTATTATTATATGACAGCAGAGGGAAAGTGAAGATGAAGATGGGTTGGGTTATGATGACTATATACACAGATTTGTGCATGTATATATATATTTTTATATTAATATTATTGTTATTGTTGTTTTTATTGATGGTGATGGATGATAATTCCTTACTCCACTTAATTGGATTGAATTGAATTATTACACTTGAGCCGATATTCTTGTCCTGTCAATGCCTTTATTATATATGTGTGTGTGTTTTTTTTTCTTCCTTTTTCTTTATCTTTTCTTTTTTCCCACCTAAAGTTCTTACAACTCCGAAACAAAACATTACCATATGCATGTGATGATAACTCATTCATGTTTCTTTGCTTTCTACTTTGAGTACTTCATAATTAAATTCATATTACCTCCTTTTTCTTTTTTTTTTTTTTTCTCTGTATTACTGTTTACTAACAGAAATAGTCCGGTCAATAATGATCTGGTGGTGTGAAAATAAATTTTGAAAATGCTTTCATTGAAAAGTTTCAATACTATTTATCTAATATTAACCTTTTAAAAGAATATTACATATAGTATCTATTTAGATCACGTTATTTATTTATACTATTCTATGTTATGTTTTGCTCTAATATTTTATAATATGTACGTTGCATTGCATGAGTGGGAGAAATACAAAATAATAAAATAAAAATTTAGATAGAGAATGGGTTGGGTCAATCATGGAAGAGTCTCCTTATTCCCTATAAAGCTGTGTGTGTGTTTATTTGTTTACTGCCAAATAATTATAAATATTCTTTTTTCTTTTTTTTTTCTCCATATATCACTACTCTCTGTTCTTCTAAACTTCCACTTTGCACGTCTTTTTTTCTCACCTTCTGTTATGTACTGCCGATGTGGGATTTTGTTCTGGAATCCAAACATGTTCGTTCGTTCATTCATTCTCTACACACATATATATATATATATATATATATCTACACTCTGCCAAAGTTGTTATTTCAAATCAACAATCTATTGTAGGCCCTTAGAAAGAGTATATGTCACCTGCAATCTCTCTCTCTCTCTCTCTCTCTATATATATATATATATATTACATATATGTATATGATATGCATGTATAGATACATATGGTACCTCCAGGATTTTGACAGAACCATACTTTCTCACCCAACTCTATATTCATATTTTCCTTTTGCTCCTTTTTATCATTTCTTCATACACTTACCAACATTAAACTATGAATATATACATATATATATATATATAGATATAGGTATATTGATGGCAGATGCTGCACCAACTGGCAACTTTTTTTTTTAGCTATAAAAACTTTGAATTTCGGTTGCAGAAATTAGCCATACCCTAGACTGGTAGTTCTGCTTCAATTCCATTATAAATAAACAAACAAATAAATAGATAATAATAATTCATAAAAAATTTGTTTTCTTTTTCCATGAATAATTTTACTTAGGTAGATAATATATACTTGGTTGTAATTATGGTATTTGTCCAATTTATATCTTGGATAAACAATGGTAGATGACTAAAAGTAAGAGTAGAAGGAGATAAATGACATATAAAACATATACAGGTGAAGTTTTACTTTTTTTTCACTTCTATCTTCTGGAATGATTATTACAAGACTTTATATAGGAAGAGATAATATACAATATAAAAATAGACAAATACATGAGTTATATCAATATAACACATGATATAATCTCACAAAAGGTATAATTTTATTGATTATAACATAAAAAATATATTGATACAACACAAATAAATATGAAGTGACTTCACATACATATTGTTAGATGATCTGAATGACCGTTTCACCTAAAAGTTTAAATTGTTAGAGATACGTATTATTTATTTATTCTTCGGGAGCTTCATGTCCTAATCGGATACTATTCTTTGTGATAATTGGAGAGCTCTTTTTCTTAGCCAAAATCGCGTATCTCATAAACTGAGCTAAGCATATTGATCTTGATTATTATTTTATTCGTGACCTCATCTCTTTTGGTAAACTTTATACTCGGTGATCCATCGAAGCTTCAATTGGCGTCGCCATCCAAGATAGTTCCAAATGTGTTAAAATTTACCATATATAAGCATCCTACCACAAATTGGGATGATTCTTCTTTTTTTTTTTTTTAAAAAAAAAACCTGATCGATTTCATTATTGGGTGATTTTTAAAAGATTAAAGATCATATAAAGCCATGATTTTTGCATGCCTAAGAGGGCCATAGAAAGAATATATAAATAAAGAAACAGATTTAACTTTGACAAGAAGGAGATAAAATTAATTAAACCCTACAATTTCGTGATGATTTTTACTTTTTACTGCTCATCACTATAAGTAAAGGTAAAGCCAACCCTTGTATATGAATAAATAAACAAATAAATTATTATAGTAAATTTGATAATTAATTGTACGTATATGTAGTTATTGAGAAGATTGATGAAGGGTATCTCAATTCAGTAGTGCAAATGATATAGTGATAATAGTGCCTTTTTTATTCTACAAAAAAGCAATATTATATATAGATTTTGTGAATCAAACGGCCCTTAATAAACAATGGAAATCTCCAAACATATCATGAGATGTTCATTACCCTAATCCACAAAAGCCAAACAAGAATTGATCATACAAAAACATCTTTGAATAATTATTGGATCATGTAGTAATGAGTACTAAGGCAAACCAATTATAATGGCACTTTTAAAAAACACATCTACAAAACAACAACAACAGCAATAAACCAAAAAAAAAAAAAAAAAAAAAAAAAAAAAAAAAAACAACAGCAATAAACCATCGTATAATAAAGTAAATGCATATGGTTAATTAATTTGCAAATTGAAAGTAAAAAAAACTAATTATTGAGTGTGCATATGATATGAGAGAGCTATATATATATATATATATATATATAGATGCAGTTGGACTTCAATATTGCATGAAATGATGGTGAATTTGATCATGGTATCTGGGACCCACTTTTTTTTTTCTTTTTTTTTTTTTTTAAAAAAATTATTAATATTTTAGAAATGGAGGGAGAGTCCCTTGAATTGTGGGAGAAATTTGAAAAGTGCAGAAAGAAGCAGCAGCAGTAGAAGCTAAGGTAAGCTGGAGGGAGATAATTACAAAATTAAAAAATAAAAAGAAAGTACATTTGCATTTGCATTTGCATTTGAATTTTACATTTGCATTTGAATTTGCATTTGCATTTGCATGTGAGCCAACAGCCTTTAGGTTCTCTATTTTTATCTTGTCTTTTTTCTCTCTTTCTCTGTAACGTACCTTTGAACAGTTTAGGTCACAGCATACATTTTTTTATATATATATATTGAGCTTTCATTATATTTCCATGTTGGGACAATTCTTTCTTTTAGATTAATTAATTAATTAATTAATGGCCATATGCTGAGAAGCTTTTAAACTTGTCTCTACACAAAATTTTAACCTGCTATTAAACAAAGTAGTAATTAAGAACAATATCCATCTATCTGCCTATAACTAGAGGGATCTCCTTAATTTAATTAATTATTGATAATAATAGTATCCATGGGGGATGGGGGTGGGTCACCAGTCTCAGAAATTTAAGAGGATCATCAAGAGATATTGGATGGGCTTTAATATATATATATATATATAGGAAATTAAATAAATTATATGTATATAGATGTCCGATCTCTTCTTTTAATGCATGTCTAAAGGGGATGTTAAAATGGGGTTTCTTTATTTGATTAGAAAGAACGAGCCATGCAAATATTGGTACATTGCAACACACATTCTTTTTATTTATTTATTTAAATTAATTAATAAATAGTTAAAATAGCTTTGCCAATTGGAAAACTCCTTTCCAATACTCATAAATTTTCATTCTGACCAATACCACAGCTGCTCACTGCTTTTAATTTATTTTTTTTCCTAAAGACAACTTTAAGTTTTCTTGCATGGTGTCTCTCTTTACCCCCTATTTGCTTTTGTTTTTGGGGTCATTCTTGAAGTTTGACGTAGAGGTATCGAATTAAAAAGTGTCTGATTTTAGTACGTACGTGTGTTGGTGGGTGGGTGGGGTGGGGTGGGGGGCTATATATGTATGTATATTCTTTTTATTGGCGATAAATTAAATGTGTTTATATATATATATATATATATATATGTAAGGTAAGGAGACAATAATTGATGAAATAAATGGAGAAGCAGATATAGATATATAGATCATAGAATCTTAATTAATTTAAATTGATTAAGATGGAGGAGTTTCTGTGTGGTGCAGAAGACATTGAAACGA